TGTATGTTTGTAAATCTGTCTGTCTGTCTGTCTGTCTGTATGTATGTATGAATGTAATGTTATGTAATGTGATGTAATGTTATGTCACATTAAGTCGTGTAATGTTATGTTATGTTACATCATGTATGTCTGTATGTATGTATGTATGTATGTATGTATGTATGTATGTGCCTACGGCAGGAAAACCGTACGTGCGTTTTGCTACTTTTTTGCGTATTGCTGCTTGGTGTGGGGTGGGGTGGGGTGGGGGGGCATGTTAACGTTCCTTGTACTTCGTGCATTATATATTGCTACGTTGCTAAGATCTCTTGGATCGTGTTCTACGTTACATGTTGCTACGCTGCTGAATCTGGGGATCTTTACTATGACATGTTGCACGCTGCTGGGGTGGGTTGGGTGGGTGGGGGGCATGTTAACGTTCCTTGTACTTCGTGCATTATATATTGCTACGTTGCTAAGATCTCTGGGATCGTGTGCTACGTTACATGTTGCTACGCTGCTGAGATCTCTGGGATCTTCTACTATGTGACATGTTGCTATGCTGCTGATGGGGTGGGGTGGGGTGGGGTGGGGGGGCATGTTAACGTTCCTTGTACTTCGTGCATTATATATTGCTACGTTGCTAAGATCTCTGGGATCGTGTGCTACGTTACATGTTGCTACGTTGCTGAGATCTCTGGGATCTTTTACTACGTTACATTTTGCTACGTTGCTAAGATCTCTGGGATCTTTTACTACGTTACATGTTGCTACGCTGCTGAGATCTCTGGGATCTTTTACTACGTTACATGTTGCTTCGTGGCAGGCTGGGTGTACTGAAAGTGCGCACAGGGAAGATAGACTCTCTGTGGAATTTGGCTAAACAATTTGTGCCTAGCAATTTGCAGACAAAGGCAGGGCAGAACAAAGATGTCATGCTATACCTGCGTTGCTGGCAGTGGCGTTATGAAGGCCATAATGGCAAATTGCTGTCAAAGACAGCTTCCAAACTGAAGGATCGCTGAGCCGACGATGGGTGTGTAAAAAACTCGTCGAATCCACATCTGATGCACGTGGTATTCGCAGGGAATTCTCAAAATTCAATAGATTTTGCATCCACTTTTTTTGACCAAAATTCAATTATCAAACGAGTTCGGAACAGCATTTTAAACTGTAAATTACAGGTGATTCTGACTCTCCTGGAAACAAGCAATCAAAACGCTCGCGCGGTTTCCCTTCCGCCGGGATGTATGTGATGTAATGTTTTTCACACTAAGTCATATAATGTTATGTTATGTTACATCATGTATGTCTGTATGTATGTATGTATGTATGTGCGTATCTGCGTATGTGTGTATGTGTGTATGTCTGTATGTATGTATGTATGTATGTATGTATGTATGTATGTATGTATGTATGTATGTATGTATGTATGTATGTATGTATGTATGTATGTATGTATGTATGTATGTATGTATGTATGTATGTATGTATGTATGTATGTATGTATGTATGTATGTATGTATGTATGTATGTATGTATGTATGTATGTATGTATGTATGTATGTATGTATGTATGTATGTATGTATGTATGTATGTATGTATGTATGTATGTATGTATGTATGTATGTATGTATGTATGTATGTATGTATGTATGTATGTATGTATGATAGATATATATAGATAGAGAGATAGATAGATAGATAAATAGATATATAGATATATATGTATATAGATAGATGGATAGATAGATAGATAGATAGATAGAGAGATAGATAGATAGATAGATAGATAGATAAATAAACAAATAGATGGATAGATAGATAGACAGATAGAAGCATCGATCGATAAATAGATAGATCGATAGCTAAATAGATCGATCAAAAGATAGATAGATAGATAGATAGATCGATAGGTAGATAGATAGATACATAGAAGGATAGATAGATAAATAGATACATAGATAGACAACTAAATAGATAGATACATGGATAGATAGATGGATAAGGAGGTAAGTACATAGTCAGAGAAAAAGAAAGAAAGAGATGCGGACCAGGGGGGAATCGAATGGGGGGGGGGCCAAGAACACAGAAAGTACACATTTCTGGGCCAAACATGAGCTCAATTTCGTCCATGTCGTCCACTTTTCAGACGCTTGTTGAGCCCCATGTCAGGTCATCTTGCAGGTTTGTTGTGCCATTGTTGCGCGTATGTTGCTTTTTGTTGGCTTTTGACTTGCTGGCCCCAAGTACGTCCATGTCAGCTATGTTGGGCCTACATATCTTGGAATCATCTTGCAAGGGCCTGGTCCAGGCCTGGGTGCCTGCCTGTTCTTATGCCCGCCGGGCGTAAGCGCAGGCGGGGCTTTGGCAGCGCAGGTTTGGCAGGGTAAAGGCTGTTTTTTCACCATTTTAGGCCCAAAACCTGTTCGATGAAGGGCCTGCCTGTTCTTATGCCCGGCGGGCATAAGCGCAGGCGGGTGAAAAGGAGACATTTCATCCACAGGATTGTTTTGCCGTGGATTCCCATGAGAAAGGGAAATTTCATCCATGGAATGGAGCCAGTTTGCAATGAAATGGCCAATTTGAAATGAAATGGAGCCAGTCTGGGGTAACTGGGGGTGTAAGCCAAGTACATAGACGACAGTCCATTTGGATGACTTAGTAAACCAGAGCTATGAAACATTATAAGTGGTATGACGTGTCCAGTGTTGCTTTCTTGCTTGGCTGTGACGAATTCAGAGCCAACAAATGCCCCACAGAATTACGACCGAGTTTGTGAGCGGAGTAGAAAAACTCGGTCGTAATTTTTTTTTCCTTCTACAATGCCCGAGAAAGGATTCTAGGTGTATGTTGCAGACCATGGGGCCAGTTGACTATGGCCACTAACCAGATAACTCCTTTGTATCCATGTATGTTTGTAAATATGTCTGTCTGTCTGTCTGTCTGTCTGTCTGTATGTATGTATGTATGAATGTAATGTTATGTAATGTGATGTAATGTTATGTCACATTAAGTCGTGTAATGTTATGTTATGTTACATCATGTATGTCTGTATGTGATGTAATGTTTTTCACACTAAGTCATATAATGTTATGTTATGTTACATCATGTATGTCTGTATGTATGTATGTATGTGCGTATCTGCGTATGTGTGTATGTATGTATGTGTGTATGTATGTATGTATGTATGTATGTATGTATGTATGTATGTATGTATGTATGTATGTATGTATGTATGTATGTATGTATGTATGTATGTATGTATGTATGTATGTATGTATGTATGTATGTATGTATGTATGTATGTATGTATGTATGTATGTATGTATGTATGTATGTATGTATGTATGTATGTATGTATGTATGTATGTATGTATGTAGTATGTATGTATGTATGTATGTATGTATGTATGTATGTATGTATGTATGTATGTATGTATGTATGTATGTATGTATGATAGATATATAGATGAGAGATAGATAGAGAGATAGATAGATAGATAGATATAGATATATATATATAGATAGATGGATAGATAGATAGATAGAGAGATAGAAGATAGAAGGATATAGATAGATAGATAGATAAATAAACAAATAGATGGATAGATAGATAGACAGATAGAAGCATCGATCGATAAATAGATAGATCGATAGCTAAATAGATCGATCAAAGATAGATAGATAGATAGATAGATCGATAGGTAGATAGATAGATACATAGAAGGATAGATAGATAAATAGATACATAGATAGACAACTAAATAGATAGATACATGGATAGATAGATGGATAAGGAGGTAAGTACATAGTCAGAGAAAAAGAAAGAAAGAGATGCGGACCAGGGGGGAATCGAATGGGGGGGGGGCCCCCCCCCCCTACGTCTCCGTTCGTGACTCTCGGCTCTCAATTTCCGGGAAAGGACCACCCACCTCCCCCAGTACTAAACTAGTACTAAAGTACATAGAACTCAGGTAGCCTAGGCTACCTTTCGTGATAAAGACTGCAACCTGCCGCATGTCCTGCAATAGTGCAGTAACCGCGGCCATGAACGGCTCAACTGCTGCAAAGGAGTAAACCAAATCAGCACCAATCCTCGGGTCTCATGCATCTGCAGCATTCTGCGTCTGCTTCCAAAACTTCGGGGACATCAAAGTTATCCACCAATCAACGACTTAAACATGCTAAAAGTTGAGAGGTTAAGTCTGGAAAGAGACAACCTTGCACAGGGCATGTATAGACAAGCTTAAGAGCTTACATATACAAGTCTTCCGCAATTCAAAGCACTTCTGAAATCTTCCCCCACACCGTGCCACACCCCGAATGAGTTCAACAGCCCAGTTACACCAAATCAAACTGCTGCCTTTCAGCCAGGATCCGAGGAGATACAAGCAGTAGCTGCAGATATCAGTAAAATTGTGTAAATGATGAACAATTTGTTCAATAAAACATCAGGGATCAGGATTTTCAGCATAAAGCACGGGTTTCAGCAGTCTCAGAAAGATTTACAACATCAGTCTCTTTTGCCTTTCTCACCAGCATCCAGGAGGTTACCTCTACATCTTGCGTTTGCTTCAGCAGAAGGACTTATATAATATTTAATGAAATGGAAGCTTCCTGTATTCTATTGTGCTCTCCAATGACGGAGGTGTGTGTTCAAGTATCTAGACGTAGGACTAAAAGCAACAAAGTTGCAAAAGGCAAACGCAAGGGTGAACCAAAAGACTAGACAAAGGTGGATGCAACTGCTCCGTTGATCAAAGAAGCAGCAACATAAGAAATATGATGACCATTGACGAACATTGACGAACCATGTCGGGCATGTTAATGTTTGTCAAGCATCTTCGGAAATTTAAACGTTGGCATGGATCAGTAATTATTGGCATTAGGGTACCACAACCTTGGTCAAGTGGCTAGAAAATCTTACATTTTGTATCATTTTGTGAGGCCACTGGTTTTGACTTGCGAACTCTCCAGGCCCTCCCAGTACCTTCCTTTCTTACCTACATGACGTAACTCAACCGTTGAAATTCGGCGAGGAACAAAAGCCGTCCCCAAATGTCCCCAACCTCAAAATCTCCTCAGGTGGCGAGAGCCAATCAAACTCGCCGATGTCGGCTGCTCCGCCAACAGTAGATAGCAAGTCTTTGTTCAGGCCCACATTGAGCCTCAATGGCCCGGAACGGTTTCATCTTTACGTCTCCAATGTATTCCGTAACGAACGATATGGTGGATATAGCTTCCCTCATTGTTGCAGGGGAAATGTAAGCCTAGTTTGCTGGGAGTATTGGCTTTGTTGTAAGCAACAGGCTACCGTTGTGTGAATTGACAAACTATTTTGCAAAGTGTACTTACAGATTTGCTCTCCAGAACTCGCTGTCACCTTCAGCAGTACAGCCATGAAACAATGGCCCAAAGTGACATCTATAACAATGCACAACTGCTTGAAACGACATACCAGGAGGAGACTAGACTACCAAATCATGTCACAATACCAAATATGATAAAATATGCATAAATGATCATAAATCGACACTGCATGGCATCCCGTTCCGTTCCCTACCCTGGATACCCTTGACTCTTTGCAGCTTTGTCATGCGCTTTCAACATGCATGTAGCCTAAGCGAATGAGTGGCACAACGAACAGCGCCTAGGCGCCCACAATTTTCAAAAATCAAATAAGAAACCACAGGATTTCCCTGCAAAATCCTGCAAACTTCTGCAAACATTTTTTCATAATTTGTGGATCTTTGTGGTTGATTGGGCCCAAGCATTGCACCTCAAGAGCGGGAGCAGGGACTGGCGATCAGTCAGGAGTACCTTGTGAGACAGGCGTTCACAGTTTCACATAGTTGGCATATGGCATATGGCAGCATATCTTGCTATATCTCGCTACTATGTTGTGCTCAGTTTCTTGAAACCACACCTGAGAGATTTGCGTACTTTCTGGGGCTGGTTACGTGTAAAAAAATTGGTCCCCACTCCCTTGATGGTGCACGACCACGACATCTGGTTTGACCAATAGTTGAACAACCAAAGTAAACAAGCAAATCAATGCGAATCCCCAACATGTTCCGAAATTAGATGGTGCCATCCTTGACCAGATCTGCTCAAACAGGAAAGGACATCATGCGTTTTGTGAGAAAAGGGAAGGAAAGGGTATCCCCAGAAACAACGGGGGCGGCTACCTGGTACCTACCTAACCCTCTGCTACCATCGCAGGCCCCCTGCCTTTGCCCCGGTCGCTGCAAATGCCAGTCCGGCAGCACCAGTACCAGAGCCCAGCTCTAAAACAGTAGGCCTGGAACTGTTTCACTTCAACACTGATTCAACACCAAGGGAAAGTTATGGAAACTTGCACAACATCCACTTCAATCAAAAGCCATCAGTCACCACCAATGATCATCGGTGGATCGGTAGTCACTACTAGTCACCATCAACGATCAACACAAATGCTTTTGCCACTGGGCTCACACCTGGGTGCATGGAAGTCCATAGATGTCATTCTCGGACCCTGCAGGGAAAGGCTTTCACAGCTGCTTTGCAGGAAAGGCTCTGGACGGGGCAGCCCTCCTATTCCATGATTGGAAGTTATAGATGGTATATGTTAACAACATGTCATGTCTCCATATGTCTCCATTGTCTTGATTCTGCCCCCATGCATGCCACAATAATGCCACCATCATTGGTGATGTTGGGAGACCTCTGTGGAAATCAGCGTGGCCAAGCTTGCGCCGGCTGCCCAAAGCCTTGGGTGCAGCTGGAACTTCTCTGGGAAAATGTGTCGCATAAAATCACAAAATGGATATGTGACGGGTCCGAAAGAAACATCATAGGTACAGAATTGGTTCTTCACCTCTACAGAAACTCACCGCTGATTAGTAAGCGGTGCACTACAACAAACGATGCACATTTAAATGGTGGATGGTCTCCACCATTGGTTTCCACGGTTTCCCATTTTTTGAATTCAGAAAGCCATAGAAAGCCTGACAGGCTCGAATATCTCGATTGAGTCCTCAAACTCACGCTTTTTGCATCCACTAGTTCATGATGCTCATGCCATTGTCGAACAGAACCAGCAACCAGGAGACCAAGACCACGCGCATTTTGAATCTCTATGAGATCTATGAGCCAAGCGAGAGAGTGACAGCAAACACGCAGAAAAATGTGTCGCAGGACGTGCGTACAAAGCGTAGCAACAAAAGGATGCCTTGCACTGACAATAACGCCCGACCACCATTGATACCAACGAATACCAACAATAGAAACGTGCTGCATGTTCAAGTCACATGAAAGTGGTTATGATCTCCAAAAACAACACTGCAGTTGCTCAGGGAGTCGAAGAATCGAAGAATAATATCTAGATATATCTAGCGCCCACCTCTACACGATCCTGCCAAAGCATCCAAAAGCTAAGTCAAATACGGGTCGGCCAAGCTTAACAGCCTAAGCCTAAGCCTGCTTCCGCTGATCCCAAGTCCTAGAAACGCCTTGCATGATAATATCGACATGTATCGACATGTATCGATCTCATAAACCTGATCATTCAACAGCGTGACAGCGTGAACCCAACGGGACCCAACTAGGGCTCTGACGCTCCGCCAGGTCCCAGCTCTCCTTCCATGCGACAATAGCGACAGTCCAGTGCCTCCGCAAGGTGCAAACTGTGTCACTGACCGAAACGTCGATCAATTAGATGAAATATGATGAAATATGATAAAATCTGATGAAATCATGATAGATGTTTGGATCAGATCTAAGAGATTTGGTCGGCCAACCAAACGTTCTTTCTCCCATGGACCTGCTATGGTCCATGGCTGGCATCACCTACCCGCCGGTGGAGCCTGTGTTCGCTAACGGTGCCTGCATGATCTACTTATGTCGCCCCTTGGCTGTGACGCCCCTGCGGTCTCAGCGTGTGCATTCAACTGATGTGCCAATTATGTATAGTTGAAGCTGTGGCTACCACTTAATGACTTGTCGGAAGTCCTGGGCTTTGAGATTGGCATATTCTTTCCAATTTTGTTTGTAGCTTCTTGCTGGGATTTGCTGGGGCTACGTTTGCTATGTGCAGTCTTTGTCCGGCTGGATTCGGCACTGACCTTTGGGGTCTTTGCCTATGGTCTACCCCTTTTCAGTTGAGCTGGCGATGGTTTGATACAATCTGGTCCCATAGTTTGGTTTCTGCTTCATGAGCTTGCTTCGTCATGCTACCGCAACGTGCCCCTCTTCTTGGACCGCCTTGTTCCTGTGCCATTGTCTTTGGCCTTTGCAAAACGGCATGATCTTGCCTTATTTTGCGTTTGCTGATGCCTGGCTTTGTGGATTTTTGGTTCTCCTACAACTATTTCCCGGAGTTCGCTGGTTTGTACAGTCGGCGCCTTACATGAAGCTCGCTGCAATGTGTGGTTCGTCTATTGGTCTATTGACTTGGACGGATCCTGGAATGTGGCCTACTGGTGTTGTTGAATGGCTGGACATTACTGTCCTTCTCTTCGACCCGGGATTTGCTTTGTCTTCACACAAGGGTTCCTTCGGAACTTGGCGCTCAATTTGTCACTTGGTGAAGCCTGTCCTTGAGTTACCCAGAGAACTGTGACAGCATTCACAGTCACTACAATGTCACTACTGTGGTATGGTTCGATCCGTGGTTGTCCATGCTGATTTCGAGAGCTCTCTGAGCTTGTTGACCTCCGGAGGTTCACTTTTTTCGAGTGTATTTCATGTGGTCCAGCTGAGGAGTGAAGAGATGTGAAGAGACAGATGATATCACATGATTAATGTTTGACCATTCCTACGTCACATTTCCAATGTCTCCTGGTTTTTCCTCGTTCTGAGGAACCATGGGCATGGGCAGTTCGTGCCACTTCTTTGCTTAGTGTGGCTGAATTCAATCATGTGGCGATGCTTCTGACTTTGGTTTCCACCTCCTCACTGGAAAGACCTTTGCCATGTATTTGGTGGTGCCAATTTTTTGACGTGTTGGAAACGAGCCGGAATTCGACGGCTATCCTGCTAGCTTTATTTGGACATTCTTTGTCTCTCTGTACAGACGCAACACTTTGTGGTGCTCTTTCTTGCTCGGTGCTCGTCCAGTCGTCCGAGATGCTTCCGACGAGTTGTGAACCTCTGCTTGCTGCTGTGATATTTTGTGATCAGGGCTGTGTTGACACTTCTGAGATTTCATCCCAGCCGCAGATGATTTGGTTATGCTACGAGGGTGCTGCTGCACCTGGTGGCCCGGTCTTTGTTCTTCCTGTGGATGCACTTTGCACTCGAGCTTCCCGAGGATGGTCATCATGTGGTCTATGTGATACCATCTGAACCGTGGTTGACTTTGTCATGATGCGAGGGCTGCCTGAGCCTGGTGGATCAACATAGTGGTGCCTCTCTGTCTGACAGACATTATCTTTTCTCCCCGAGGATAGAATTGACGATGTTTTGTGAGCAGCACTATATGTTTCTGATCCCCTTCTGGTGCGATTTTTCCCATTATTACCCTGAGTTTGCTTCTTGCAAATTTCACTCATGTGGGCCACAGCGCCCAACCACCAACTGGCTTAATGCCCCGTGCTCGGGTGTTAAGTCCCACCCGTGAGGTGGAAGGAAGAAGGATATCCATGGATATCCCATGATATTCCCCCGGTGGTTTGGAACCACAAATGCTTCCAGCATTCCATGCCCATGTCATCCAGTTCCAGCACCTGCCGGATCTGCAAAGGCTTACCACATCTGAAGCTTGGCAAAAGAACGTCCTCAGAAAACGGCCGGCTGAGCTACCCCAAGTTGCCCAGAATTTGGATTTGAAAATCCTGGATGGCTTTGCATTCAATAGCAAGCATCAGGTAGACATAACCTTAACTCTTCCATTTCTTGGTGGACAAACCATCAGAAATGCTCTTCACTTGAACGCATGTACAACATCAAAGCCAAGAATGAAGAAACTCGCGCGCCTGAAACATCCACAAGCTTTGACTGCAAACGCTTCGCTGAAGCAGAATCTATGCAGAATATCTGCCTGCACTCTGATGCAGTGTCAAGGCACATGGTGCTCACTCCAATGTATTTCCAAGAGATTTCTCGCTTGCTCCAACTCCTCTTGCATTTCGCTTCGCCATTCCTCAACGCAGCTGGACATGGATGCTGAAGAAATCTGAAGAAACTGGATCTAAGATGACATGACCTCACCAAACAAATGCCCAAGACATCCAAAGACCAAGCTAGACAGCTAGACAATATGATCCTCCTGTCTGTCTTCCTCGCTGACTTGGTTGTAGCACAATGCAGCTGCTTCCAACAAGCCAGTTCTGATTCTGAGTACGGCATCAATACAGGATGCAAAAAGTGGGAGCACAATGGAATGCTTTGTTTTGGTATGTTTTGGTCATCTCGGTCATTTCGCAGTGGCATTCCACAAATGTTATAAGAATACTTGGTGATATATAATGGGAATACTTGGAAGAGCGAGAAGCCAAACATAGCTATCTATGTGAGAGACATATACTTTTTTACCGGAGACCGCCGGAGAGTGCTTTGACTACAGCGAAACCCACTTGAAATTTGGACAATGGAACTGGAAAATCTGGAAATGGATTTGGAAGACACATTTGTTCTTGGTAACGGCAATCGAAAATTCCCCAGGAATTCAGCATCATTTTCTACCAAGTCTACCCATCTTGAGCGGCCTCGTCATGCTCTGCCAGGCGCAGGGCGTCTTCCAAACTCATCACTGCGTCCTCACTTGGCAGCTTCAGCCATGTGATGTTCCAAGATCCCACGCGGATCAATGGAAACCTTAAACATCCTGAAACCATCTCATTTCAGATTCATTTATTCATTATTTAATGGTCAACCTGTTCGGTTTTGGTGGGCTGGCCCCAGAAAAGTTGAACAACAGCACCCCAGCAACAGAATTTGGACTGGGAACTGCGGGAAAAATACGCATCTGCACATCAAAACCCAACATTCAGAGCCAAACCTGGCCGCTCTCTGTCCGGGCCATTGGTCCTGTAACTGACCCATATTAAGTTGTGCTCGGCCCAGCCTTAGCAGTGAACAATGTTTCAGAATACTGGGACGATCAATGACCTGTAAATCTTGGGATAAACGGATAAACCAACTACTAACTGGCACAGTTGCACAAATTTTACTTGGCATCTCGTGCAACCACTGATACTGGTTGGGGTTCCGTAAAAGGCGGCGCCCTGAGGACGTTGCGTAGCTTTGGCTGGCAACCAGTTGGGATCCAACTGAACAGCAGCTTCAGCAGATCTCAAGGCCTGGGATGGGGGACCAGACGGGACCACAGGTGATGCACTGCCAATGCACTGCCAATGCACTGCTACAAGTGACGTGACTTGCGCCTTTGGAGCCCACATCTGCCATATCCGGGTTCCAATCCACTTTGTGGACATCCCTTCCTATGTCTATCTGTATGCACTACTGCGTACACTATACATCACTATACCGTATGTACTCTATATACATTATAAATTATACGCATAATCATACTGTACATGTTGCGCATTGCATAAACTATATTCAGTATATATATATATATATGTTGTATGATGTTATATGTACGTATATACATATCTATCTAATCTACTATATATATATATATATATGCATAGTAAGTAAGTAAGTAAGTAAGTAAGGAAGTAAGTAAGTAAGTAAGTAAGTAAGCAAGTAAGTAAGTAAGAAGGTAAGTAAGTAAGTAATTAAGGAAGTAAGTATGTATATAAACATATTTATAATATCAATATAGGTAGATAGATAGATAGATAGATAGATAGATTTCCCTCTCTCTCCCTTCGTGCTCAATGACCCTCCAGTCTCGCGCCTCTTGGAAGTCATCCAGCTCCATCAAGCACTGCGCGCGCCTGGAATTTCAGCATGGGCTTGTGATGATCCCGCTGCTTCTCAAATTTGATGTAAACATTTTAAACCACAATGAGTTTGCCAAATGACCTCCTCTCGGAAACTGTAGTTCCGCGTTCCATGTGGCTTCTGCAGGTTAGTCACTGGTTCGTTGCTGTGTACCGAATAGAAAAGTTATAGACAGAGATCCCACAATTGAACGGCTTGATATGAGTATAATATAGTACAGTAGTATAGTATAATGCAAATAAAGGCCGCAGAAGGCTGGAGCCGGAAACTTCCAACAGGAAGATGTGTTCGTGCGGAAAACTTTGCATACAGGAGTTGGGGGGGGTGCTTCAAAGCTAAGGCACACGGCGTGCTGTGGCTCAGTTAGAAAACCCTGGTCCAGACCACGGGATCCTGTTGAGATCTGTTGTGCAAAGCTTTGGGTCAGTCACTTGTAGTGACAATACGTGACAATTGCAATCTCTGTCTCTTGGCTTGACAGCTCTGTCTCTTGGCACCTCTTTCTCTTCACATCTCATCCTCTTGACAAGTCTTTCTCTCGGCGTCTTTTTTGAACTTTTTGAACTTTCTTTCTCTTGCGATCTGTTGCTCTTGACACCTTTTGATACCATGTCTTTCTCCTGAATGTCTTCCTCTTCAGTTCTCTTTCTGCTGACATCTCTCGCTCTTGACATCTCTTTCTTTTGACACCCCTTTCTCTTGACATCTCTTTTCCTTGACGTACGCGCAGCCAGCGCAATGTTTGCACGACCGAGCCTGCCTACCAACGCGCGATGGTTCGAAAAATGCAATAACCCTAAAATCGCAGGCATATCGCAGGCAACAGTTCCACTGGACCAAGTCTCACCGAGTTGCAAAACACAAAAGAGTTTACAGCATTCTACAGCAAAGCAGTTCAGAGTGAAAGTGGTGATGTGGAAGTGGTCATGACGTGACCTGGTGATGATGTGGAAGTGGTGTTGATGTGGAAGTGGTAATGACATGAAGGAGTTATGGTGTATGGCGCGAGGCGGTTCTCATATGTTCTCATTCCAGTCATTCGAACTTGGAGTTTCTCATTTCATTTACAAACCCAGATCCCAAAAAGGAATTGGAATCTCTGAGAAATGAATGTAATCCGATTCTGATGTAATCGACAACAAGCTGAACGTCTCAAAAGGTCTGACATGTTTACATCAGATGTTTTATATCTTTGTGTCACAGGGATGATCGACCACATTGGAAGTCCCATGACACCACTCTCTAAGATCCAGACGCTTCATGGTGCTTTGCGTTTTTTGGATCCTGTCACCAAGCCACACCCTCAGACACGCAACCTAAGACCACTTCAACAAATTGAGTGGATAACGTCCTAGCAAACAATATCAAATAACGTCAAATAATATTGTCTCAATCTATTACCTTATGCCATTATTTCCGAGTTGCAGCTACAAGTACCATCATATACCATCATCCATCAAGATTCCTAGTTGGTGGTACCAACATTCCACTCAGTGCCCCAGTACCCCATGCTACCCTCGCCTTCTGAGAGGCTTTGGCAAACAGCTGTGCTGCTTTGCGAAAATGTCCAGCCTAGCCGCATTGCGGCCCATTCTGCAAATATGCTGTTCGCAGATAGCCACAACATGTCGCAACATGTCGCAACAACATGAAGTGCAGAAGTTGTGAAGTTGGGACTTTTATCGCCTGGGGATGGCAGCACCAAACCCGCGGAGTGCCTCCGCTTGTTGTGTGGCATCAGCTGCCAGCTTTGACACTTCCATATCCGACACCAGGCATTGGAGGGGCACCAAAGGTCGGCCACAGGAACACTCTTATTGTGACGCTTATTGAGCTGGTTGTTGTTTGCTGTTGTTTGTTGCTAGTCCGACAGTTGGGATATCTTGGGATCAAAGGCACGTCTAAAGCCCAAGCATTGAACTGTAAGCGTTGACTTCAGCAGCGTGCTGTCAAGAGCTTGCAAAGGTGATCATCTTCACAGAAAAGATGTTACATCATATTACATCATGTTACATCATGTTACACTAATAATCCATGCGTATGGCCTTTCAGCCATTTCCTTCAAGGTATATAATTAATGTGGAACTTCAATCCTGGCTTTAGCATGCTTTAGCCTGTACATAGATTCATTATATGCCTGTACATATAGATAGTTCAGTCATGGTCATTATGAAACATGCTGCACTTGTCACCCATCCACTAGCTCCCCGGCTTTTCAGGTGGCCACGATACCACTGGGACCTGCTTCAAATCTGGCCATCCACTCTTAAGCTTTGCCTGTCGCGGGTATGCACTCCCTTCGTCCATTGAGAAAAAACATGTGTAAAAAATGATAAAATGAGAAACATATTAGAACTATGGCACTTTCCAAAGCGCTTGCAGGCTTGTGGAGCTCCTATACAAATCCAGTTGTAGCCCCAAAGCTCTAACCACTCCTTCATAATCATAACCTTCTAATTAAAAGAGATATGTATATAATGCTTGTTTTTTAGGGCCAGGTACTCCCGGAGGCACTTTTCGTGAGGACAGAGGTGGTGCTCGGGATGGTGTCTATAGGGTGGCCGCAAAAGTGATTGCGCTTATAGCTGCGAGGAGATCCCACTGCAGATTGAGCATCACCCGTTGCACCGCTAGATAGGCCCCCCCCTCCTGCCCAGCAAAGAGGGGATATGTTAAGCTTAATAGGGATTTATCAACTTCTAATCAATCAATATCAATCGCCCCTTGAGAATCTCACACGGGCTCCATGTATGGGATAAAGTGCGTGCGTTTGAACCATTTTAGGGACAGGTAAACATTACTTGCTATTCCATGTATGGAGCATGGGGGGAAGACTTAGGTTCTGTATTTCATTTGAAGCATATTGACACCTCTAGACTTGACCACTACTTCTGGACTTTCAAGACCTTCAGATTTCTTTATATAAATCAAGTTTTATTTTTGGTCTAACAAATGATGCAATGCATCGGACGGGCATTTATCGATAATATCACGAACTGTTTCCTGTCCTCCTTGCCGTCCTTGTAGGCTTCAATCCACCTATTGAGCAATTATTTAGCCCACTCACACTCCTCTTGCAACCCCAGGTTGTTCTTTTAATGGCAACACTTCGATTCTTTCAGGCGTGGGGCAAGGAAGCAACGGCGATATGCAGCTGGCTTCATCTCAACTCCCAGAGCTGAGCCCTCAAGTCGCATATTCGAGGGATGCGACTCGAGAGCATTGAAAAACACGACAGCACCTCTAAGGGCCAAGTTGGTCTAGATCCACGAGGAATGAGGGGGACTTAACTGACTTAACCAAGTCATGTCAAATGTGTTTCCACACAGCCACACAGTTAAATCAATTAATAAACAAAGCAATTTACAGAAATCGTCTGCTGAGCAAACATTCTGTCAAGCAGAATATGGAGACCATGGAGATAATATCAAGTGCATGCTTGGACGGCGCGAACATCAAGCACCCTTTCGTGACCTTGACTTCTTCGAGGGATTGAAGGTTTTCATCGACCTGACTTGTACATAATGGACAACTCTTCATGATCTTCATGTCTGTTGACTGGCTGGATCAAAAGGCAACATAAGGCAACCATAGTTTCCAAAGCAGATGAAGTGGACCTGACCCATTGCTTGACTTTGGTGATCAATGGCAGGCAACAAAGGGAACCATTTGCCAATCATATGATGGCTTTGCGGTGTGAACTTAAAAACAGGTGCCCTAGGGCCCTTAGGGATCCCAGGAATCACCCTAGAGGCGCCTGCAAATAGAATAGCCATTCCTTGAGCGGCCCAATCTCCTCAATATCCAATCCAGTCCTTGGGAAGGAGTGTTGCAAAGAGCAGCTCCTTGAAGAGAATCAAGCATTAGCTGGGACGATATCTGGGATAATATACTAAACTAAACCTATACAGTTACATACGCATGAAATGGTCTTAATATCTCTACTTGGACATGTGTCCCTACAAGGAGAGCATGAAACATCTACAAGGCCCAAGCAAATGAGCATGGGCAGAGCACTAACCAGCAAACAAAAACTCACCATCTATAGTGGTTTGAGAGGTCTTGCGACCGATCAAATTGTCAGCAGCTTTCATGCATTTGTTTGGGATCTTCATAGATTTTCATAGATTTTCAACTTCTGGTTTCCATCCTTTTCCATCCTTTTCCTTCCAGACTCAACACCAATCCTTATTGATCCTGTGCCTGCACATGGCAGCACTTGACAGGACTCATCATTCCACTTAGGTTGCTTCAGCAGCACCCGTGAACAGTCGTTGCAGGACCTATGTTTAGATCACAAACCAACGCACTGGTCTAGCGGCTGTTCTTGAATCCACTTCCCGTCTGCAAAGGGCTTCTGCATCCTGCAATCCCCTTGGCTAACTGCCAAAATAACACGGTGGTGATAGAGGAATCCTTCATGAAATCATTTCACAGAAAAGTTGCTCAGCCTGCAGGTCCGTATTGACAGAGGAGTGTTCTACTTTTCACCTTCAGGGGACATACGCATAAATATATATATATATGTAGTATATATATATATGTAGTATATATATATATATGTGTGTGTGTGTGTGTTTGGACGATCATTGCGCCATGGTGCTGCAAAGGTGTGACTTTACTTTGTATTCATGTTGGGTTAAAGAGGGGGCTTTGAACGCATCAGCAACATTGTCAAGACTTGCATTGCAAGTGCGACTGGTAGATTTGTCATATGCGAACGTGGTCTAAAAGTGAACAGAATAAACCCTGCTCTTGTGGGGATGAAAAGGATAGTGCTTGATGTTTTGCTCTTGAAGCCTGATTCATGCAAGTGTCACGGCAATATACGGCAATCACAGTCATATGCACACCAAGTACAGCAAACAAAGGGTATACCACTCACACATCACGACATGTTCTTTCAGTCCAATTTTGCGTAGGAACTGTATGGCACATGGTACGTCCTGGCGTATCCTTCTCTATCTTGAAGCAGCA